AAGAGATCAACACAGAATAACATTAGGCCAGAGAAACAGTAGGCTGCATTTCTGATAATATTATGTTTGCAAGGTGCTCTCAGGTGGCACCCCTTCTGTCTAACAGCCACCTTCCCTCTGAATAAATAAGGATTTATTAAGAATTTTCAGCTTATTCTTTTGCCCAACCAATCTATGTATTTTTGGATCTCCAGAGAAAGTTGATTGTGATCAGGGGAATAACTTTTAAATGGCCATTGATTAACACTGACCCGAGTTGCTATTACATGGAATAGATTTAAATGCTTTACCTGATAATAGCTGAGGAAGTCCTTGGTGTTGAAAGTAGTCTAAACTTGATGGATCATTCCACATTCCAAACAATGGATTGATGCCAGTCCACCTCGGATCAGTGAACAGGCTGCTCATCGTGGGTGCCACCATCTCAGATTGTTGCTGTAACATTCCAGGTGGTAACCCAATCTGCCTTGGCTGACAACGAGGGAAAACAGAACTGCGGTATGAAGGCCTCATAGGACTAATACTGGCTTCAGAGTCCACAGGAGACAGAGGAGAGAATGGAAAGGCTCCATATGGAGAAAAGGCACTCATGGGAGAAGGTGAAAGGCTATCTGGTGGGGTATGTAATCCAAAATGAGTGCTACCAGCTACGAAGTTGCCCTGAAATTAGAAAAGTTGTCCCTATTGATACCATTGTAAATACAGATAGCAATTCTTAACAAAGAACTGGTAGGCCTCACCTAAACTTGCAGTGCTAAAGACATCTGGCTAAAGTTATTGAGCCGATAATAAATTTACTCCAGGCATAAGTTATCTAAAGGTACTTCCTGTCCATGCTTATATTTTCTTTTCTCTTTTAAGATATTGTTTGAATAGCATTGTGCCTGTTTTAATTCATTCCATGTTTAGTAGAAAAATCTCTGCAATTTTCACCATGAAAGATTATGTCATGTAACAGATTTTCCTTACAAAAAAACAACAAAACAAAACAAAAGCAGCTTAGTCAAAAATTTATTTCGAATTTATTTCTCAGTCTCGCGAAATTCCAAAATCTATACTACAAGTCTATTGTATCTGCCTGTAAAATGGTTAGGCATAACTATTGACCAAAATCTGAGAAAAAACAAAGATATTATCATGAAATTGTATCACTTCAAATCGTTGACACAGATTATCTGGCTCAATTTGGCTTACTTGAAAAAATTAATTTTGATGGATAGAAGGACAAAAGCGACTATAATTTACAAAACGGCACAAAAAGCATACACTTCATTGCCAAAATTAGAAACTAATACAGACAGGAAAGAAGACACAAGGTCAAAGAGATCAACGCGCCGCCACAGCTTTCAGTCAGAAGAAAATAAATAAGTTTTAAACGATTACCATGAAGAGTTCACTTGTTCTCAGATCGTCCATATGTAACGGGCTGGGAGATCTAGAATCTGGAGGTGTTGGCTGAAAACCTGGGTAACTAACGAACGGTCCACAGGTTGTAGCTTGAGATGCTGGTTGAGGCGAAAACAAACTTCTACCCGCTGAGTCTGTCAAAACAATGCAGCAAAGCTTTTCTGCGTTACGTTTAGCGTCTGAATTTGATCAAATGTGTTCCACATGAAATCAAAAGAACTCGAACAGATTTCAGGAAGTTCACTTACTAGAATCCAACAAAGCATTGATTCGAGTCAAGATGGAAGTTTTATCCTCGGGTGCATTCTGTAGAGGGTGAAATTAAGATGCCATCGAGATCAGAGAATAACTGGCGTAAAAAGACGGCCGACTGAAGCAGTTAAAAGACAGACAGCGATTTTTCCGCTGAGGAATTGTTTGTCATCTACCTCGCAGCAAATTCAACATATACAAAACTAGGACAAGTTTGGACATTGAATTCAGTCAGGGTTCAATTTCGAACAGAAAACAATTTAAGGAACGATGTAGTATTTACTGCATTAAGCTAAGGTTCGTTCCTTTAACGTAATTTTAGTGCTTAAGTTGGAAAAACAAGTTCAATCAACAACGCTCTAGCCGGAAAGAGTTCCTTCCGCACCTGGGCTTAGTCTGATGACAACTGCTGACACAAGCTATTTTCGACTGATAGTCGCACATTTCGGCTAACATCAACAAAAATTCAAACAACAACCTAGCAAAACAAGCATTCAGATATTTGAACTTACCTCCTTACTCATGACTGACGGTGAAAGCGCTGTTTCCTTGCAAGACTGCCCTGTGTCGTCCCTCATTTCGTCCCGCATTTGTATGATTTCGCGTTAAGACGCTCCACATGCACGTGGAATCTCTGGATTCTCGTGCAAGTCACCTTATTGGTCAGTCAATTATTTTTATTGTTTTTTGACCAATTGGATCATCGCAAAAATGACAAGGGCAACCTTTCTCCAATTATAACTTCCGTTTTAATTTTCTAAACTACAATTTTTTTCGTACACTTTGTGTCGCGAAAAAACGAGCTTTCTACACGATCACTTCTAATTACTTAAACCTCGACAACTACCTCGACGTAAATAAAACATCTGGCAAAGCTGTTAAAGCGCATTTTTACTTCTAAATTAAACGCAAAAATACCCCACTCACAAAAATGTTTACCTCTCGTGAGCTAATTAGGATTTTTATTATGTTTTTCTCCGGACTATCTTTTTCTTTTGGGTGGGATATATCGCTTTGATATCTCAGTTCTCCGATTAAGTGTCCCGGTTTTTCTTTTCCGACTGTTCGAGTGGCCTGAAGTTTGTTCGTTGACCCTGGTAATGGACGCATGAAAAGCTCCCGATGCGATATTCAGCCTTAGCGTGACTGCCAAATGTCATCATCTAAACTGCATTCAGAGAATCTATTATTTCATCATGTCATATTTCATTATCATAGAATGATAATTATAACAAGAATTTTCGTCAAATTTCAATTCCAAGTATTGTTTGTGTATGAACACAGCTTGTGATGCTCCATGGAAAAACATCGACGGAACACCACATACTCAAGTGCGCATCTGGGTAACTCTTTAAAAATAAGTTTTATTTTTTTCCACCCACACTTTCCGATTAACTGATATCTCAATCATATCAGGGACTACAGTTTTATCTGTATCCCATCATACAGCTAAAAGGTTCATCCACCTCAAACTAATCGAAGAGTAACATTTTAAAAAACATGAAAGGATTTGACGATGCGGTCATGATAACAATGACCAGGTCTTAGCGCGTTAATTTGCGCTACAACGTTTGCCTTAACGAAATGACGCGATGCCAGAGAAAGCTTATCTATAATTTGTGCCCTTCATTCACAATCGCTGTCATGAATCCGCTTTTCTCGAGGAGATTACAATAAAGAACGTTCTCTGACACACAGGTGACGGGCACGCAAAAGTCGCACTTAACTATTCCTTTTTTTTCACTTGCGATAACTTGGTTACGAGGAAATGTATGATCTCATATTTCAGATGACATGACAAAAAAAATTGCCATCTTCCTCATTCTATATTCAGCCCTACAAATGTTTGTGTAACGATGTAAGGTATTAGGACATAAAAGCAAGGGCATAGCCTTGTGCTTTGCAGTCTCCATTGCGAAAAGATTGTTATAATTCAATTCCCACTGAAATTATTGGAGGGATTGCTGTACATATGCGTTGTAGACAAAACGCCAGGTCAGCACAGATGGAAATTCACAAAGTCCGTGTGCGTGTGTATGTGGTTATTTTTTATTTTTTATTTTTTTTCAGTTTTTAAGAACCGAGACGAATACGGACCGAAATCTATATCGATGTTAACGAAAAAGTTGCGTTCAAGTAACAAAGTGGATAAATCGGTTACAAAAACTTTTAAGTTTTAGCAAGCTCAAAGCGGGCTTTGACCATCCTGTGCGCTCGACCAGCTAATCAGAATACTTGATTAGCTTCATCTCTCTCGCTCGACGGGCCAATCAGGACATAGGATTAGCTTCATCCTTCTCACTTGACTGGTGAATTAGAACACTGGATCAACTCGCGGGGCCATACGTTTCGAGCGTTAGCGCTTCGTCTATCGCTCTGACAAAGGGCTAACGCTCGAAACGTCAGCTTTTAAACTCTTTACGGTGGCCAATTTACGTTACCAACTCAGTTGATAATACTTAATTATTCCGTTATACTCTCCCACCGACGCAGCACTACGGTTTCTCTAGAAACGTACCTCCTTTATCTATAGGGAAAGGGACCATGAAGAGACGCGTCTTTCACCCGAGTGCAAGCCCCAGCGGAGCGAGGAAAGCAGCGCGATCACGGCTCACGAAAGTGTCACTTGACAGTAAAAAATTTTTTAAAACCATTATTATCTTCTGTTATACTATATGACGCTAAAAAGAAACATCTGATCACAGGTTGTAGTTCACTGGAAATAAAAAGTACCCTCCCCCATAAGGGATACGTAAACTGGCAAATAATTATAAAACAATGTCAAATCGTTGCGTCGTCGGCCCAAGGATTCCAACTACTCTCGAAATGTTGTCTTTCTTTTGAATCTTCTGAAGTATAGTACAATTTAGTTCCGTTTAGTAGGGCTGAACTTTGGTAAATCATATCTCAATCGTCGTTGACTTTCTTCTCTACTCTGATGGTAACGCATTTATTGTGCTCTTTTTCCTTCTTCACACCTTTTTCCTTCTTATAATCTATTTTTCCCAATCTTTAGATTTTAATTGTTTCATTTTTTAGGCAAGAAAAAAATCCGGGTTTTCAGAGATTTGTCTGTAGTACTTATTGCATATATTATACACACCGAATGTCATGTTCACTCGTATCGTTTTCAGAAAAGACGAAGTACCGGTACATGTAATTGTATTTAGTAGTTTTCACTTAATATCATTTTGTGTTCTCTTCCAACACCAACTCTGGGTGAAAGAAAGTTAAGTTGAAAGTTACAAGTGACTGCGATCCTTACGATCTCAGCGACCAATGAGAAGCAAACACAACAACAACAACATTTATTAAAACACGATAAAAAAATTACAGCAGAGCTAATGTGGTCGTGTATTTAAAAGTTAAAAGTAGTTTACAAGTGAATAAAACGCTTAAAATCTAATCAAAATTTAAAAGGATCTAACCTATTTTAAAAAATAGATAACATGTCTGTAAACTAATCTATTCGCATCAAGTTCTGCGTTTAAGAAAATTTTTAAATTAGCTTTTGCTTGCGATTGCACGCGTATGGTTGTCAAGAGAATTCCATAGTGATACGGCTTTGTAACAAGTGGACTTGCGAATAATTTCTGTATTTGGTTTTATTGGTTTTATTTTGGTTTTATCTATTCGCATGAAGTTCTGCGTTTAAGAAAACTTTTAAATTAGCTTTTGCTTGCGATTGCACGAGTATGGTTGTCAAGAGAGTTCCATAGTGATACGGCTTTGTAACAAGTGGACTTGCGAAGAATTTTGGTAACAAGAATGTCAATTTCCTTCGCAAGTTATAGTTGTACTCATATTTCGTAAACAGCTTCATAATAGGAACGGGAAAGAAGTTATAAAAACAGTCGTGTGCTAACATAAGTAATCTATATTCGTATAAATCTTAAATAGTGGGCCACTTGCTTTGGGCTAAGACCTGATCGCTGGGAGTGTACCGATCCAGGCCATAGATGATCTTTGAGGCACGTACATGTATTCTCTCCAGCTCATCAAAGAACGATTTTGCCGCAGGAACCCCATACAACCAAGCCATAGATAACAGATGGTAAAAATACTTTGAAATAAAAATCAGCTCTCGCTGTAGTCGGTAAGAAATACAAAGACCTGAGAAGATTCATTTTTTGTGAAAAGGACTTAATTAACTCTTTTCAATTTCGATGCCTAAACACCTAGTTGATTTAACTTGAGTGACAACACTGTTGTCAAGCAGACGTCCACTCTGTATCATTCAACTTGTAGGGTGCTAACTGTGTAAGTATTGTTGCATTGGTATTGAACTGATAAGTGTATGAAATAAAAAATTACAAAGCTGCTAAATTGCCCAAAATATAGATATTTCGAAAATGGCCTTTTGAGATGTTACAGTTTTTGACATTCATACAAGGAAAGTGGCTATTGGGCTGAAAGCTGACCTATTATTCTATAGATTTAGATTTTAAAATAGGAATTTTAGCTCTTAAAGTTACCCCAACTTTCAAGAAAACAGGTCCCTGTGGTGTTATTGCACCAGCAAACTTGGACATGACCCAGGCCTGAAAATGCTCAGTGAGTAACACAGCCAGATAAATTTGAAATAAGCAAATGGTATACCTAGACTTTAATTTAAACGTTCCAGGGATGCAACTACCCTGATCTGCTGTCTGCAGACAGAAACCTGTGTGTATCAGGTTATACATGAGTCAGTGATAACCCTCCTGCCAAACAGGCAATTAGTTATTCCTTCTGATGTTTGATCTTTTGGCGACCAGTTCCTGAGCCAATGCTGATGCATATAGTTTATCAATATACACCAATGTCTGAGATCTTACTGCCTTTCCTTTTGTTCCTTGCTGTTGCAAGCTTCATTTCTTGCTATCCACTGGAGATATTCTTGTTTAACCATTTTCCAATAACTTTCCTGAAGAGTAACAAAACCATTAGTAAAAATGCTATCTGGTGTTTCAGGCTTAGAACTTTCTTGGAACCCACCTGGAGACTGATAAACTGAGCATTACTAGTACACATGGTTGCCTTTTTTCCCAATCCACTCTGAAGTGCTTCCAATTCCTTGTGAGGAAGGTAAAAAACACAGTTAATACAAAGAAACTAATTACTCATAAGTTTCACACATCAGGATGTCTAATTTCAAAGCCAGAAGGCATGTATAATAACTTACATAATAATTTACATGAACAAATTATGCTCATCTGATTCAACACAAGTGCAAATTACAAACAGCACACATACTGCCAAAATTTCATCCATGAATTTATGTAATGCATTTTACTTGTAAATTATTAACTAGTAACAACATGATTTCATGTGCAATTTGGTGTAAATACGCACTTGTCAAATTTTCAAAAACTTCAAATCCCAATCACCCTATAGGCTTGTACAATTTTGTTGCCTTTTAAAATTTACTTGTGCTTACTAAGACCAAATTGCACACAAAATCATGTTGTTACCTATAGTAATTCAAATTCAAGAATATTCAAATTCAAGAATGGTTGAAGAATAAATCTCTCTAGTTGGTTGCAGGGAATCTATCCTTCTGCCTTGTTTAAAGCCAGGAGTCCATTAAGTAATGGGCTCCTGCTGAAACTAATTCTACAATGAAAACTGCTGTTTATTCAAGTCCTTACCTCAACTGTAATTAATAATTGCATAAGCATTAACAAAATTAGAAAACAATTGATAGGTTTATCCACTTTTCCAAATCAAGCATGAGATAAAATATTATCTTTCTTTGTAACTATTGTGCAACCATTATTTGAAGTAGAAGAAATGTTTTATTTCAATCTATGAATTATTATTATCATTGTTGTCATCAGTATTATCATTTTACCTACTAACTGAACATTACCTGCACTAACTGCTCATTTCTTGCCTTAGTTCTCTGAAAGTCATGTGTAGTCAACTGAAGTTTCTTCTGCTGTGAACTCATACGTGACTCATTTCCTGCAAGCAACATCTCACGTTTGGCCAAACTGAAAAACAGTGCATTCAATATTTATATGCACTGGTACCTCGGCAATACAATAATTATTGCTATTTAGTTATGAAGATGTATCACACTAAAAATCCTATATTCCTTCATCTAAGTACAGCCCTAAGGAAAGCAGCAAATAGCTCGATGCCACTGACTGTGAACAAATTATAATAATTTTGTGAGGTTAGCTACAACCCTAGATAGTCAAATAATAATGGCAATTGATAGCCTGTGAAGGCATTAGTTCATAATTGTATGTATAGTTCTGAGGATAGAAAAGACAGACTAATATCAGATTTCCAATGATAATTCACAGTTTCCTTCCTTCCTATTTTTCGGATTAAAGCTAATATTTTGTGTGAAAACTTCACCCTAAGAAGGATTTCTGTAACTAAAGAAATAGTCTGATATCAGGTAAATGGCAGTTATAGTCATTACTTCTTTAATTTATAGCACTAAAAAAATCAGTGGAACAGTTCTTACCACCAAAAATTTTTTTTTTTTCAGATGGAGACAGTCTTATTACAATAACGGGCCTCTGCTATAGGACACAAGACCAATTCGCACACACGACCTGAAATGACCAGCATTTTTAAATAGCGCGCGTCGTTCAAAAGACCTCAGGGATTACGAAGGTTTAACAGGCAAATGAGCCTATCGCCCCTATCATTGGAAAGTTATGGGCCATTTATAAAACGTTTGGACCATTAGGGTAAATAAATAGGCCAGTAAAAATTTTAACAAAGGTTTATTGCTTGTGTATTACAGTCTATACCTATATCTGTTTCGTCCGTTTCACGGTCGTTTTCGCTCACAGTATCACGATTCTGCTCCGCTGTTGTGTTGAAAAATGTAGACAACGTTCTCTGCGAGCTGTCCAATCTCAAAATTTTTTTCGGAGGCATGAGGCTAATCGATGCAAATACATTCAAAGCGACGAAAACGCTCGAACTCTGCTCGAAAACGAAACTCCGAGCAATAGCTTCGTTTGCATGCAAAGTCCGAGTTCAGGATCTGGGAACAAGAATGAAGCGAGCGTGATCAAACGAGCGAGGGCACCGTAGTTTTTCGCTTGTTTGTGTCTCACCAAAGTGAAACTTTTACAAATTAAAATCCTTTTCACAAAATAGTTTATATTTCACTAGCTTTGTGCGGTCAGGGCGCATCACAGGCCCGGTAAGTATTTTTATAATGGGCCATTTCGTAGCTTTATGCGCCATACGCGCATGGCGCACGGCCTTCCTAATCCCTGAGACCTTGACACCAGTTGCCGCCGAGTGAGGCATCACGTTAGATAACAATGAATAAAAATTAAACCTTACATTTCTTCGTGTTTATGGCTCAGATGAGCTTCTCGTGCAAGCCATTTCGCGAGGTTGCTTTCCTCTTCCATCACACGACACTCATCATCAACGAAGAGAGGGTCTGGGAGAGATTTATGATGTAATGATTAACCCAGTCCCCTCTCCCTCTTATAAGAGGAAAAGATGGCAGCCTTTAGCGGCGGGTTTGTTTTGTTACTGATGTTTTGTACATTTACAAACCAGGTATGTATTGATGACCTAGCTGAAATCGAGGAATTATTTGATGCTGAATCCCTGTGATGCAAGGAATTGAATATTCTTCCTTTTTGATCAGGGAGCTGGACAAAATGTCGGTCAGTTGGGCGTTCTTCACATTGAGGGAAACGAAGATTCACAGGACTTCTGCATCGCCTTTAATGAGGAGTGGGTTTCTCTTCCTACTCATCTGGATAGCACGGTAAATACTGACTTTTTTCAATAATTCTATTCTCTTGAACAAATTCTGCTTTTTCTTTAAACATGAATCTGCTCATCCTTGGGATTTTTTCAAGACTTGTTAAGTTGCGAGGTAACGAAAGTAACAAAGGATTATTTATTACATTCGAGTTATTTTGTGTTTGTTTGTTTTGATGGCCGTTTACTCCGGTTGAAACCATGAAGCCTCGGGAGAACTGTTTTCGTTACTTTTTATTGCGCTGTTGACAGATGGGGGTACTCTTGTCTTCTGCAATTGTCTGATGCTTCATGTTGTGAAATCCGGAATCGCCTTCAATACAAGTTTCATTAAATATTTAACTCGTGGTATAGGAGCTCCTCGTGATTTTGCAAGCAGGTGTTGCTGTCTCCCTTATTTCAAGCATTTGTCAGTGCAACAGACTTCTTAGATTATTTGAGCAGACAACAAAATCACAACTTGATTTTTTTTTTCTTAAACTTGTGAATTACATAATTATAAAAGATAATGCGCGAGTTAAAGTAAACCCCAACCCTCTCTTCACACCTGAAATTGTGTAGCCTTCTTTGGTGTGGATTAAATACCTTATTGGCAGCTCTTCAAGTAAAAGATAGGTGGAGTATTTGCACATTTTTTAAACTTCTGCCTAAGTTGGGTTTTCTCTGACTGTTGTATAATAAGAGTGAGAATAATGATGATGATAATGTTGCTATTATTATCAGTAGTAGTAGTCATAGTGTTATTATTATTATTATTATTAACAATAATAATCTAATTAATGATAATGGTGATGGTCATGAATGATAATAACTATAAATTTGGGAGTTCTTTTTCCATACAATCCACTAACACAATGTTGATCTTGTTCATATTGTTAATTAAGGACTTGGCTGTCATTTCTTATGAGACTCATTTTTATTATGCCTTAAATCTAATCAGCATTTGAGTGTTGCAAAATTGTTTTTGCTGTTATTGTAACTGTTAACTACCTACATATATGTTTTTCAGCCAAGGTATCCTTTGGTAGAAGCCAAACCTTCAACTCTTTGCAAGGAACCACAAAATCACTCAGAGATAAAAGATGCTGCTGTAGCAATACAAAGGGGAAACTGTACATTGTTTCTAAAAGCTCTGTATTCACAAAATGCTGGAGCAAAAGAAGTAGTCATTGTCAGTAATGATAGTTTGGTAAGTGAATTCAGCCAGGCACAGTCATGCACATGTTTGTGAGGCTCTCATTGCAAGTACATGAGCATGTAGAGTTCATTAGTGATGACCAAAAAACATTGAGTTCTTCTTGACATAAAAATTTCAGATGTCCTTGAATGAATTACATATTAAAATTGTAAGGTTTCTAGCATCAGTACTAGAATTTTCTTCAATCATGAGTCAGATGTATTACTTGTTTTGGTTTAAGGTCTTCTAAAAAGGTTAGATTATGTTTAGGAATAAACAACTTAATAAAAGTAAACTTAAGTACCAATGTGATTCTAATTTACTCTATATTTATGATCATTCAGTTCACCCCAGTTGCCAATTCATCAGAAGAGTATGCTCAAGTAACAATTCCCATGGCTGTGATTAGTCATGATGATTGGATCAAATACAAAGATAAGGTTGGTCAATATGTTCACTCTTCTCTTCAGCAAATTATCAGAGTTTAAAAATTTGCAATGTTGTGGTTGTGGACAGGCTTTCTCCATTCCATTTAAATTTATTTTCACAATAAAAACCACAGGCTTAACCCTTTTTTCCCAAGATCTGACATTAATTCTCCTGCCTAACTGCTACTTATTTCCTTGTATATTAGTTACAAGAATTTGGGTTTACATGAAGGGAAAAACATCCTCTGCCTGATAAGTTTGAGTATTCTTATTACCTATTTGCCAGATAATGTACGGATATTAAAGGGAGAAGTTTCATGTTACCATCACTTCTGGGGATCAAGGGGTTAATTAAACTCCTAAGTCAAAAGACAGTAAAAAACATGACTCCTAATTTCAAGAGCTCACTAATAGTCCAATTTTACAATGTCATTTTAGTGAGTGAAAAGAATGATCAATCAAAATACATGTACATGTGTATCAAGATAGCATCTAAGCAATATGTTGTAAATTTTTATATATAGGATTTTGGAGGTGATGTCAAAGTGCAGATGTATGCTCCACCCACTGATTTAGTGTCTAATATTGACGGCAATTTGGCAATATTGTGGCTACTTGCTGTAGGTACTGTGGCTATTGGAGCTTATTGGGCTGGTATTACAAACAAGAAAATCATGTAAGTTGGTAAATATCTGTTTAAAAAAAATCATAATTAATATCGATGCCCACTTAATTGTTTAAGTTATCGGGTATTTTCAATAGTTATATTTTACTGAAGAGTTGGTGAAGTATCTGGATGGTCATTTTTGCCAGGTGCTTTTAGTAACCTTGTATCCAGTATTAGATCAGTGAATTAGCACATGATCTCCACATCATTTAGTGTGTGGGTGATAAAAGGATGAAAAAAATTATGTAATATTTGCAAGTAATTTGAATCAATTCTGTTCTGTCAAGGGGAAGCATGTTAAGAGGCAATACTAACACCAGTGGAGATGACAGCCAAGCTAACAGAGAGCATGGGTCTGCTGGAGAGGACTCTTTTGAAGTGACTCCTCTGTCGGTTGTTGTATTTGTTCTTCTGGTTTGTGGCACTTTACTGTTGCTATACTTCTTCTATAAGTATCTGGTGTATGTTGTGATTGTTGGCTTTGCTCTGGCTTCCTGTTATGGATTGTACGAGTGTCTTCATCCTCTTGTTTTATGGCTTCCTCTTGGTAAGTAATAACAGCATTGTGGTGATGTACACTGTAATTCCTATGCAGGGGTGGGTTGGATACCTTTCCCCTCCTTTTAGCTTTGTAAAAAAAAGCAAAAGGAAATCTCTGTAAGTTAATGGTTAGCTAATAGAGTCATGTATTTTAGTCTCTTTTGATCTCATTAATCTTGCAGATACATTGTATGGAATGTAAAGCTCACTTTTTGATTTTGTAAATATTTGATTTTCACTATGGCTTGTCAGAATGTTTCACTAAATATCACAGGGAGGTTTAAGGTTATATAGAGCCAATGATAGGTCTTTATCAGTAGTTGTTGAATTAAAGGAAAATATAAGTGACTTAGTGGCAGTCACTTGTAGCTTTCTGTCTGACTGATTGAGCTGGTAACACAAGATTCCAAAGCCAATCTCATAGGACAGTCAAGGTTTTTTTTTAAAGAACATGTAACTATTAGTTGAAAATAGTCCAGACCAATAATCGGATAAGATGCTGTAGTTATTGTTTAAAGCATCAAAATAGTTTTATTAGATATAGATGATATAGAAGCTTTTCTTTGATTTTCTTTTTCAATTTAGGAGATTGTACAGTCCCAGCCAACCAGATTCCACTTTTGAAAAAAGAGCTGCAAATAAGAACTGTCCTGTTAATACCATTCTGTTTGGCCATTGCAATCTGGTGGGGTATTGAAAGGAATAAGAGGTATCTATTTCCTTGAAAATATCTTTTAAGTCAATATGGTAAATTCAACCCTACATGTACCTCCATGTAAATATAAAAAATGGCAAATAATGGTAGATTTACTGCACAGTAATAGTACAGGTCCAGTTAGTTTTGAATTGAAACTAACATTTACTAAAGCAAAAAAAAAAAAAAAAAAAAAAAACGCTTATTCTCTGCAATGTATTTTGTCTTTCTCTAGCTATGCCTGGATACTCCAAGACATATTGGGTATATCATTCTGTATAAGTCTGATGAGAGTCATCAGATTGCCAAGCCTGAAGGTTTGCACACTGCTCTTGGTCCTTCTTCTAATTTATGATGCATTCTTTGTTTATATCACACCACTCTTCTCTGCTGGCAAGAGTATCATGGTTGAAGTTGCAACAGGTAAATGTTTCTGTTACTCAGTTTGGAATTTATCTACAAGTGGTTGGGTGGGATGATCCCTCTTTCACATAAAAGAAACAAGGGTGCTTATGGGATAAAGGATATGAAATGAAGAACTAAGAACAATCTTGTCATCAAACAAAACTCCTTTCAAAATGGCTCAGGCCTTTAATGCAGTATAACAGCACTTTATTCATTTATTTTTTTACTTTCTCATATTTTGGTGCTTGCATTTATCTCTTCAACCTTTGAATTCCCAAGATCGGATTGTTGATTCTCCCCTCCAGTTGCTAAAAATTACCTTGTATATCAGGTACAAAATTTTGGTGTTGAATCAAGACAAAAACTTCTACCTGATAAGTATTTTCATTGCCTGTTTGCTGGATGTACAGATATTATAGGGAGAAGTTACATGTTGATCACTTCCAGTTTATCATTAAATCCACTCACTTGGCACTTAACCTCTCACATATGTTTCTCTTTCTTTGCTAAGGTGGTGACAGTAAAGAATCATTACCAATGGTAATTAAGGTGCCTCGACTCAGAATGTCAGTGTTATCTGTGTGTCTGAGACCATATTCAATCCTGGGATTTGGAGATATCCTAGTTCCTGGTAAGCTCAATTTTTACCAATAATGAGAATATATTTTCCTTGTTGTCAGGTTTTTTTTAAGATTTTTTTTTAAAACGCTTGCATGTTGGAACCAGCACACTATATCAATTCTATGTTAAGTATGTGAAATGGCTTTTAACATCATATCTACAATGGAATCCATAATGTCTCCATTCTATAGTCAAGCACAAGAATGTAATTATCAATTTGTATTTTGTGGTTAAGTTTTGTCCATATTCATCTACTTTTTCACATGGTTGTTTCTGGTAACTAGTTTGAAACAAACAAGAAAATTTTGAACAAAGGACACAAACTTTCAGTTTCATTCCTGGATCCAAGAAGTACAACATTGTATTAAATCAAGTAATCAAGTGGCATTTAGCAAGTTGGTAGTTTCAGGTCCAAATTTGAAAATCACCTGTTGTGGCTATAAAGCCCAAAGGAGTATGAACAAAAGGACTGTTTTGTTGTTATTGTTGTTGTTGTTTTGCAACTAAGTCAAGATTGCTAAATGATGTTAAAATTTATTTTTAGCCCTTTACATCAGTTTCTGTCACACATTTGATATCATGACAAACACTCCATGCAGGATATATTATGTTGCAACTACTGTAGGTGAGTACTTAATCAGTAAATTGGACTGACTTGAATAATTTCAATTTATTAATAATTCAATTTTTACTCCTGACCAGCTTTAGTGAACATGTATTGATCACTCAGTATGATTGTTGTTTTACAATATATGACGGTTTTAAATGTTTGAATGATTTTAATTAATGATTTGTGGCTGATTTCAAGTTAAAAAATGGTCTGAATGGGAGCTTTTTATAGTTATGTAATAAATTATATAAAAATATTGTTCAGTATCTTGTTTGTATTTATCTATTTAAAATACATATTTTTTTGTGGTTCCAGCTTATGCTGTAGGTTTACTCATCACATTTGTTATGTTGTTTGTGATGGAGCAAGGACAGCCAGCCTTGGTGTATTTGGTCCCATGTATTCTGATAACTGGTGTTTTTATTGGCTGGAGACGCGGTGACCTAAAGAAACTTTGGAGTGGACAAATGGTACTTTACTCCCCCCCCCCCCTTGCCTGTGCATGAATCTTCTGCTGTCTCTTTTGGTCACATCTTATTTTTTTTAATAGTCTTTGGCATTTTTCTTAACAAGGAGAAATTCTATACTTGATTTTACTAGGTTTTACTCAAAAGCTGAGCAGTTGTTGTTTATAAAGTTTAACTTAAGTGTTTTATAACAGGTTAATACATTTTCCTTTGTTTTGTTTTGAAATGCTTTTCCATGGTCCATAGACAAAGAAAATTAGTCAAATCAAACTAGTTTAAAATCAATTTAACCTGAAACTATTTTCAATGACCACATGTAGAAATAGTTACAATGAACAATCCTAAAGCAAAGTTTGCATAAAGATGGTAGTACTTGAACCTTTTCAGAGGTTTTAATTCAAACAAATTTAAGATATTAACTAATCCAAGTTGTTTTAACTGTTTTCCTTCTTCATCATAACACTCTGTGAGGCAGCCAGTCTGGTATTATATTCATGTTATTTTCATAAAGAGAGGTTTCAGAAAACATTTCAAACCACTGTAGGGCATTTTAATTTTGCTGGAAGTATGTTTTGTGCATTGGGTGTTTGTATATTCTGTACCAGAAATTTTTGTGGCTTAGAATGGCTAGGATTTGTTAGGATTTAATTTCTTTTAGTGTTCTTGTTTTTCTTCGATTTTTTTAACTGTGTTCATTTTATTGATATTAGCAATTTTCCCCATCTATTTGCAATGTATTTTTTAAATATACTTGTTTATTTCTTTGCTTGTTTGTTTGGTTTCTTTGTATGTTTATTTATTTCCATTTGTTTTCTCAGGTTTCTGAAGATGTTGGTCAAAATGATGATAGTGAGGATGAAGAATTCAATCAGGAAAGTTTAACTAAAAGGCTTATAGATAATGAAAACTAGGAGCAGTCAAATGTCAATCATTCAATTTGTTATTGCTATCAATTCATAGGTAAATCAGTGAGAAAAATATAATTTATTTATATTTTTAGGTAGTTAAAGTTATTTTGCTAGAACTGGTTGGTATATTAATAGCAGGATTAATTTTGTATTAAACAAGATATCATAATAGTGGCAATTCCTTTATGGGCATATGTTTCATTGTACATTGTGTATGAATCATGTGTTAGGTTTGACCTACTACTGAAAAACAATTTTTGATTTAAGAGTGAATTTGTTATCATGGTGACTTGCATGGAAAAGTAAGTCACACAGTGAGTGAGTTAGTGTTCTTTTGGTACAACAATGAGATCAACTGAAAAAATTGTAGCCATTGGTGATCATGAGAGATTCAATCAGCTTTAACTTAAAGCACTATTTTGATATCAGGGAGTTGAAATGTCATTTGATAACTTTAATTAATATGATATTACTAGAGAACACTGTAATGGTCCCAGAAACAAGCTAAATTGGAATTTATTTTTGTATGTTACTTGGATATGTTGTCGTCAAACTGATTTCACAAAAACATTTAAATACACAAGTGGCTTTCATCACTGGCAGGAATTGAATTTTGCCTGCTACTTAAACCACTCTTGGCTATTATAGGATGCCCAAAAGTTTTCTGTAATTTTCCTAAGTTCTATATATGTAGTTATTGGTAACATTGTCATATATAGGACTTCAAACTTCCTTCCCAGTCCTCATCTGGTAACCCACAGTGTATAGCACACTAGTAAAGGATTATTGAAGGAGTTACTGGAAAGAGGCTGGATCAACAAGATAATTTTTCATGCAGCCTACCTAAATAAAGCAGATATAGGCATGGTGGTGTAATTAAAAATGGAGTTAGGTTTGGTACATTCTGAGAAATAATGCTTGTGAAATTCTGTTGAAAGAGATGAATTATTTTTATTATTAGTGGTAGAATTGCAAAAAATTAAGTTGGTAAGCGAAAAAGCTACTGCACTACAGCAGTGGCCTGCATTTAATACCTGTCCTTTTGTCAGTTTTTGTTCCATTCTTTGTTCCATTCTTTGGTCTCTAACTCCCCCCATTTCCCTCCTGTGCAAAAGTAATTTCTAAGTTCTTTAACTAAATTTCAACATGTACATAGACTTTATGAATTAAAGTACTTAGTATCAATATTATTATGAACTGCTAGCAGGTATCTACTATTACTGTAAGGGTAAACCAAAATCTGCAGTGTTATTGGGCAATATTATTCAGAAAGATTCTTTTAGGGGATATGACATTAAACTTTCAATTAATTGATGCTGTATATTTTTTATTAACTGATGATTGTTTTTGGTGTATGTGAACTAACCCTAACTCCCATCACAATTTGAAGTGGATCTTGATTCTCCTTACATCTCCTTACATGTACATGGTCAAGCAAACACCAAGACGTGTTCAGAATAAAGAAAATTGTTAGCAGGAGATAATGTAACTCAGCTAAATCTTTAGACTACATACAGAGATTTGGATCAGCTTTGATATTAAAAGCAACAACACCCTTAAACCTTGTAATTGAAGATTTGTAGTACAAGCTAAAAGAATGATGAGAATCAATATATATATGTTATTCACCAGCCAAGGTTGGTCCATATTGGGAAAAACTGTCCCCAAGGTCTTAGATACTGCCTGAGGCCTACAGCCTCAGGCAGTACACAAGACAGAGGGCACAGTTTTTCCAGTTATTTTTTTTCTAAATCCTAACAAATGGTTGCAAAAAGAACCTGAATGATAAAGGGCTGTAATTACGGCAAGATTCTCCATAAACAGAACAATTTATGAGGGAGTAGATGGTAGAGAAAACAAGGGTGAAGCAAATGAAAGAGAGAGGTTTCATCAAAACATATTTATTTGCGCAATGATATTAAAAGGTGATTTTAAAGGCTTCCAAGAAACCTTTAAAACATTTTTCGGATACTGCCCGCTGTGAGCAGGCCGGATGGGGAGAATACTGCTCACTCTTGGAACCAATCAGATTGCAGGATTTGTGGAATACTGCCTGCTCACGAACTGAGAAAAATATAAATGGTGTTCATCCTTTTCTAAAACTGAAGCAGGGATTTGTAAACCATGTAATTTTATATTGGAAAGACTTCCAGTGCCTATAGTGTCTTTCCTCTCACCCCTCTGAGAGCAGATAAGAACATCACACCAAAGTTTGCTTTAGATAAGAAGTATGGAAGTTAAAAACTCATGCACAACACTCTTTATCTTGTGCCAGTCTCTTCTTGTTCCAGTTTCAGCTTGCCCAAAGCAGTGCAAACCATCTTAAATTGTATGTAATTCAAAACTGCTCTATTTTTCCCAGCATATAAACAAAATTACACATGTTTAAACAAGTATTGTGGACTTTACTTTCTTTATATTTTCTTACAAGATATAGAAGGCTACTCTTGATATCCTGCTGAATATTGGAATGAAATCCCAAAGTATCTTACAACCTTTCTTCTAATGTCCATGCAAAGCTGTGCGAGTAGACACCCATACATAAAAAAAGATCCATGGGCAAAACAACCCTTACTGCACTTTCCTTGAACTTCACATTTTGCCTAAAAAAGAGAGTAGGAAAAAATTGTCTCACAAAAGGTGGGTAAAGAGCAGATTTTTGGGTACCAGTCAAAAATGTTTTTAAGATGCTGACAAAAAGTTCATTCTTGTTGCAAGAATGGGTTTGCTATGGGTTCCATGCCATCAACAGGACAAATTAAAACCACAGCTGTCCCTCTGCACACAGCCAGGCCCAATTGCCTTGTCTCATCAGTGAGTTTGAATGGGTCATCAGGATCTGTAAAAATGACAAAATCTTGTGAGCAAACATTTTAAAATTTTCCTTCGGTAAGGACCATGACAAGCTCTGTGTATGTAAATTTGTAGAGAATAGACGATAAATGCCCTTCAAGGAATGTGCGAAGTTGACTTGTTACCTCAAAGATTGGTAGTACCACAACTGGGCACTAAATCGGAAATAAATTATCTTTGTAATCTATTACCTCTTAAACATTCCGTTGTATTATCCAACACTACATTCAGTAAGGCATCAAAACCTTTCAAAACACCTGTAGCTGAAGACAGAAGTAAATATACCATTAAGTTGTGGGTAACGTTCAGCAACGCAATGCGTCGCTCAAATTCTGATCACTTTCTTAACATATGGACGAAATTATTGACGAATACTGAAAGTGCGAATAAAAAGCCACTGCTTCTGAATAAAAGGAGATTTATCACTATACACACTAAAGAAGAGACAGGTTACTCTATCTAGTATCTTTAATAGTCATACCGCGTGTCGGCGAACACGAAAGTACATCGATTTTTAAATAACTTTGTCTTACCTTCTCTTCCGCCTTGAAATTTCACTCGAACTCTTTTATCAAGAAATTTGGACAACTCAAATATGCTCTCCTTTTTCTTTCTTTCAGTCTAGAAAAATGTGATGAACAGTTATACACAAAAACATACACTGATCGCTCTTTGACAGGATTTACAAGAACACCTACCGCCATCTTGGTTATTTCCGATAAGATTGATGGGATTGGGAAAACTCTCTTCCAGACCCCCGCTAAACTTTGGTGACTGCAGGTGATCTCAATTGTTAGTTCTACTCTTGATACTTCGAAACATAAACCTTCTTAAAATATATTAAAGTTCACACGGCAACCAGGTGGACAATCAGACATAGTTTGATGCTACTCTGGTTTGCAGATTTAATGAATGTAACTGAAGAAGACATAGTTTGACGCTACTCTGGTTTGCAGATTTAATGAATGTAACCGAAGAAGTTACGATTCATAGACCCAACGTTTCGACACTCCTGTCTAGTGCCTTCGTTAGGGGTGATCTAAACACTGCAACAAGAGGTCCTTTTATATGATCACTAATTAGCGGCCTTTTTTCTGACGAGGTGTAAATAGGCGTCAGGAAGCAAACCGCCATCGTCACGATTTAAAGGAGCGTGGGCGGAGTTAATATGCCAAGCCTCCAAACAAAGGCGCTGATGGTAACGCCGATTAGTGGTGATAATTTTAGAATTATCCCACCCAATTGTATGGTTGGTTAGGCATGTATGCTCCGATAAAGCTGAATTTTCCTTTTTGCAAAGAAAAACCGCTTTTTGGTGCTCTTTTAACCGTGTACCAAACTGACGTTTGGTCTGTCCGATGTATTCGTTGTCACAGTCATTGCAAGGAATAGAATAAATGGCGTCGGTTCGTTGTTCTTTCGCGACAGGATCCTTAGGTTTGGCGAAAATATGCCCCAAAGTCTGAAAAGGTTTTTGAGCAACTTTAACGTTGTGGCTATTCAAAATTCTCTTGATGGGTTCCGTAACACCCTGTATGTAAGGAATAACAGCAAAACCAGTCACTAGTTCCCTTTCATCAAGAGCGTTACTATTTGTAACTGGTTTTTGGCAGTTACGGAGAAAAGTTTTTGTATAGCCATTTGCCTTTTGGACATTGGCAAAATATTTCCTCTCCTCAGCCTTCGAATCGAATGAAGATGATAGACAGTCAGCCCTCCTAAGTAAAGTTTTGGCTACAGACTTTTTATAGCAAATAGGGTGGTGAGAATCGAAAGCGAGGTATTTGTCGGTGTGGGTAGGTTTACGGTATACACTTGTCTCTAAATTACCCTGAACCCCTCTGGACACATTTAAATCAAGAATGGGCAAATGTCTATCCTTTTCACGCTCAAGGGTGAATTGGATCGACGGCTCTACTGAATTCAAATGCGACAAGAAGCGCTCCGCTTCATTTCAGGATACCACAGAAATAACATCATCGACATCGTTTCCAGAAAAAGGGTTTAACCGGTGAAGTGGCTAAGGCCCTTTGTTCCACGTCTTCCATTACCATGTTAGCAATGACAGCAGAGACGGGCGAATCCATCGCTGTACCAAAAACTTGTTGATAGTAGGTGCCGTTATATGTAAATTGCGTGGTTTTGAGGCAAAAAGACAGCAGATGAATAATATCCTCCACAGGCAAAGAAGTTCTTTGTCCCAGGGAAGCATCTTCTCTGAGTCTTTCCTCCGCAACCTTAACGGCAAGATCAACTGGGATTTTGGTGAAGAGCGAAACAACGTCGAAAGATACTAATTCTTCACAAACGTTAAGAGTTTTATCTCTTATGAAATCCGCAAATTCGCAGGAATTTTTGACAGTGTAATCAGTATTCCCAACAACAGGCGACAAAATTCTCGCAAGATAACCAGAAATTGCATAAGTCGGAGAATTAACAAAAGAGACAATGGGTCTCAAAGGAATTCCCTGTTTATGAATTTTTTTTAAAAATTTCGCCCCAACTCCAACTTTAGGTAAACTGACTTGAAAAAGTGATTATTCGTAAAAGAAAGAGGACTGCGAACTAACGAGCGGTATGAGAAACGTGCGAAAAAGTGTAACTGACGAAGAAAAACGCTAACAAACTTAACAAAAAGCACTAACGAGGAGGTATAAAAAAAAGATAAAGAACAAAATAAATAATTAAATACGAATTACACGAAAAATAACCAGCATGTGCTTAAAGCGCAAAAAGTCTCAATGTAATTGATAAGCACATAACTCACGCTCTTGTGATCATGAACTGCCCCTTTCGGATTTTGCTAAAATATACCTTCAAATAGCGAAGGGGTTTACTGCTGTCTCGGAGTATTAAAATTAGATTAACTAAAGTACATTCTTATTCGTTATGAGTTTATCTTCGCTTTGTTAAACAGTTGAGGTAAGAACCTCATTGATTGAATTATCGAATAATTGACACTTAGGATATTAAAAGGACATGATTCTTTGCAGTCGCCAGTGAAGAAGATCGCTGACTTTAATGGCTTTTTGACCTTTCAGTGCGGCATTGACTTTTTAATTACTGTCAGGCTTTTCAAGAAAGAGTGTCCAAAGTAAATCTATGAGAGAAAACAACATAAAGGAAAAAGTTGTCTTAGCAGTTTTGATTGACTGTCAAAGACCAAATTGAACTTTTATCTGACTCTTATAGGGAAACATAATTTTGGTTTTGTTACGTGTGAGAGGCGAGTATAAATCTAATCTAATATATTTAAAAGATGAACTTTAGAGATGAACGCATATATTTTTCTTCTTTACAACACTACCCAGCTTTCCTTCTGCATATTTTTCACAATAGATCTGTCGGAGCCACTAAACAAAGATCCTGAATGCGCCAAAAACGAGAACTACGAAATGCCAAGAAAAACCGAAGCTAGCATGAGCTGATGAAGCCGAAGGATTCTCGCAGCCTAAGAATATTGTGTTCATAGGCAGCTGAAAACAGCTCCAAAGCCTTTACTGCTTAATTTCAATTTGCAAGCTCATGAGAAAAACCTAAGATCTTTCAATAAATTTGCCTTCTTTTAAGATGTACATCAGGTTGGTAATTTCCTGTGGGGCTTTGTCCATTTATGAAAATTGTCACCTGAGTTCATTAGTTACAGGACTTTCTTCAACGATAAGTCAACTGAAAGTAAAAACAATAATTTTTATGTTTACTTGGTAGACTGCAATTTATCCGGCCCACATTCAGAATTTTATGACAAACATCACACTAGTTTATTGAAAACGCCTGAAGGACCTTCTATTGACATCCAACTGAAATCCTGATTGATTCTAAAACAGTTACATTTGACAAGCACCTTCTGATATCTAAATCTTTAACATTAATTTAAATGTTTAAAGTTTATTTTGTTCAGCAATATGAACCTTGAGAATAGAATCTCACCTTGTATAAAGTGAGTCATCTTTTTTTCTTTTAAGATAAATTTCGAGCTAATATAAGGCTGGGAAATATATTTCTGCTCGATTGTGGTTATGGTAAAACATCTAGCTATGCCTTATCAATGTTTCAGTGAGTCAGTATTTTCCAGCGGTGGGTAAATCTTCCTTGTGGGGATCTTAGAATGGCCCTGTTCTTAATAAAGTGTGATGGAGCTGGGCGGGAGAGGATTCAAATATGGTAGAAGAAATATTTTGGCGATGTTGTTATCATATTCCTGCTCTCGACCACTAATCTTATGAAGAAAGCTACTTTTTACTTTTTCTCTTGAACGGAATTCGAAGCTGACGAACCGCGGCCTGCACTACTTGCTGGCTCAAAAGTGAGTCTATCGAAGCAGGTCCCGTGAACCAGGAAATCGTGACGTGTTTCTGTTCGCGCAAGCCAAGTGCTGCTATATCGAGCTATTTTCCCCAGTTGTTGTGTGTTTCCCCAAAAAGTCCAGTAGAGAACCAGGAAATCGTGACGTGTTTCAGTTCGCGCAAGCCAAGTGGTGCTATGTAGAGCTGTTTCCCCAGTTGCTGTGTGTTTCCCCAAAAAATCCAGTAGTGGTGCGGAAAACGTAAAACTTATAAGTCCACAGGCTTAGCTTCCTTCCTTCTCTGACAGAGAGCATCTTCCTCGCACGCTCTTTTTATTTCTTTGATGTCAGTTTTTTCCGGCGGAAGTAATTACTATTAAAAGGAGGAGGCCGTAAAGATAACTTTCTCTTGAAGAACTGATCGTAATTTATCCCTTTGTAGGTATTTTAAGTTTCATATTTACTTCCTCATATGGGAAAAGACTGCTTTCATCTCATCTTAGACATCTTAGCGTGCAGAGCAAGTGTAATTTTGGCGAGCGAAAGCTTAGTAATTTCTTGAAGAGTATTATTGCTGCCATCTTTGATTTTAATGGCTGCGGAAGGCTGGAGAGAGAGAAATAAATTTGTACCAAGGGGGCGGTCGACGGTCACAAATAAAAAGACGGGTGGGGGTGGGGGAGTTAAGATTTCCTTCCCCCACCCTCCTACCCCTACCGTCTACTCTAACTCCAAATCAAACATGGCCGGTCGGCGTTAGACGCATGCACTGCAGGCTAAGCTCATCTCAAGTGAGCCATGCCTGTAATACTGGATTCCAGTATTCCAGAGAGCACCAGGACAGGGGTGATCGTTTTACAAGTCTTGTATGGACTGTTCTTCATCATGGGAATATCAAAGCCGAAATTTTACAGAAAACTAAGTACTAATGTAGCATCTTACTTTAGCAGATCTGTTAATACTGATAATTTTTACTCCTACAGTATCCAGGACGCGTGTCATATGTACTTCTTAATAGACCACCCTCTCCGTAGAGTCTCTGTGGCTCAGCGGTAGAGCATCGGAGCGCGGAATCCGAAGGTTTGATTCCTCATGAGGACACGACTTCTCGTCATGAGAATTTTTTCTTTGTCCCACGCTCGTGAAAAGACGAAAAACATCTTTCTCTGGTGTATATTGTTGACAATTTTTTCCTTGCATAGGATGTACTGTTAAATGACGAAAAGATAGTCAATGTGAATCATGGAATTCCTGTAAATATAAAATCAAGGATGTCTGTGACATCCCTATAGTCCGCGTCACTTAACCAGGTTCTGAAAAGATATTACACTGCCGTGATGCTTTCTTAAGCAATACACAGGTTGGATGCTTCTCTGCGCTTGGTGACAGTTGCTAGTTGCCTTGCGCTTTTTTTTATTTTTTTTATTTTCACCTTCCAACTGAGATTGGTCCATTGCTGCAGGTAGTAGGATATAAAAATACCAGAAATCTCCCAGCGACCCGCCAACGATGAAAAGTTTAACGAGCGAGGTCTACATAGGAAGGGTGTGGGGAGGATGAAGGTGAGTGGGAGGAGAACAGGAGGAGAGGAAATTAGCACAAGTTGGATTTAGGGGGATAAAGCAGTACCTGGAAAAAACATGGGGATAACTGCTCGAGAAAAAGAAACACAACATCAAAAGCGCAGCGTTGTTGGACAAGAGACGAGTAAGTTTAATTTAGCAATTCTTTTCTTCTGCACTACCATAAGTTAATTCCTGTGACCTGCCAGCAGTCAGCTAGTAAACCCTCGATAATTACATTTTAAAATAGGCCGTTGTCAACAGTAAGAATCACATTCAAACGGCAAGAATCACATTTCAGGCAATGTCCAGTGTGGTTCCAGCTGACCCGCTTTCATGCTGAAAGCTCATTTCTGTTTTCGAACCCTGCACAATATTCCAAGTAATACGTGTGTTTGTATTAGGTAACAACTGACAAATGATTTTAACCACATAACAGACCCTTTGTCATCTTTCTTTCCAAGGAAGACTTTGAAAACATGATTTTGACGGATTATGAATTGAGCTTAAATGAAGATATGCGTTAGCAAAGTCTCTGGCAGTAATGACAGTCTTGGTTTCAAACTGTAGCTCTGTTACTCCAACCCAGGCGTCCTAGGTGAATATAAATATAACGTATTATGAAAAGGTTCAGAATCCGTATTCCTCCAGTTCTAGTTCTCATTTCAGTTGAATTTTAAAAAAACTCCTTCACAGACCGACACAAAAAGCTAAAAGATCACTTGATTACACAGATGTTTCAGGCTTAGGGCTGACCCACCAGCTTCACAGAAAGGTTAACTTCTCAGGCAAACCAAGATGTTGCATTCAATCGATTTTACACGACCAGCGAGCATAAAAAATAACCGAGAGTGAGAAAAAAACCTAGGGGCACTAGGGAAAAGAACAATTTGTGTATAAGCAAGGACAAATTTTTATAAGAGCTCTACTTCAAAACACCTGTGCAGCAATGTTGACAAGAGCACCTTTTATCTAAAAATATAATTTATTATCCGTTTTTAAAAATGGAAAGTCGAAATCCGACTGCTGACAATCTTGTTCGTAGTTATTAAATTTTGTTTTTACAGCTTAAATTGCTGAAATTCAACGGGCGACTAAACCTTCAAGAGAAGCCGAGAGCTTTTACCTCAAACTGCGAAGGAGGTATTGGTTACAGTTTTAGCATAACCGAATACATTGAAGCATCAATACATTGAAGTATTACGTAGTTTTAAGAACAGAATAATAATACTAATTGTGTACATACCCGACATCTGATGAAAAGGGTATCACGGTCTCTATCGTATTTCACTTCCCCTGGAATTGTAGACTCACCATCTTCAGGTGTTACTGGAAAAAGTAACATGGTAAGAATCAGTGAACGTGCTAATAACGTGGTAATAATCAGGAAAACGATTTAACAATCAGTGAACGAATATACTCAGGTCACTTAATCAATGAACGAATATACTCTGGTCACTTAATCAATGAACGAATATACTCGGGTCAATCCTCGCCAACTGAATTGTTAACGATGAGAATAAGCCTCTCAGATTCGCAATATGTTTAATTACCAATATCCTTACATTGAAGTCAAATTTTCATGACGTTTTAATATTTTTGTCAATTCAAAAACCTCCCCTTACGTCCACACCCAAGAGGAGTGGTAGTTAAAGCCAAACCAACTTACGCTGAAGACATTCTTTAGACATTTTGATCAGCTTAACCTTTTTGCCTCTCCAGCTTGTCTGAACTCCAACCTAATACGTAAAAAGACGCAAAAAAAGAATGAAAACGAAAAAAAAAAGGTTACATTTTCCCACTGAATTATCAATTATTTAATTTTCCTGAGATAAGAACGAAAAAGGATAGGCAGTTTTTTTTACTTCTTGGACGATACAGCTACCACCGCACATAGGAATGACATCAAATGACACCCGAACAAAACCACCTTTGGTGATTTTACCGATGGATCAGACTGACCAATCCCGACCAATGTACTTGAGTCCTCCACCCACAAATATCAAAGCACAACTGACCGATAACGTTTCACGCATCACACTTAAAACACTTTATTGATAAACAACTTCCCTTTTAACCCTCATCGTGACTTTCGCTCAGGTTGTCAACACGAGGCAAAAAATTCTGAGAGAAATCAAAGCTATGATCATTCGTGTTCCTGTTTTAAAATTTTTAGTATTGAATTCTCAAACATAAAAATCAAACCAAAACTGCATTCAGGTATTAAGCTGCCGTGGATAAATAAACGCAAACAGGAATCATTTCTTACTCGGGACGAGAGAGCATTCCATCGCCTCCTGATGTAAGACCAAGTGTGATGTGTCCAGTCAATGTAACCATCCTCTTTAGTCAGACGATGGGCTGTGACAGCGGTAACAATTATTCAACTAATTAAAAATCACAGAGGATGCAATATGCAAAATTCCTTGGAAAAAGTCGAACCAATATTCAGCGATCACCTACGGGGAATGGCGGGGTGACCGTGTAATAGAGGTTGACCGCTTAATACAGGTTCCACAGAATAAGGGTATTAGAAAGAACGATTGAAAACGCCATACAGTGCTGCTAAATACAGATTGGACTCTATTTGTTACATTTCAAAATCGTCCGAACTTACCCCAGCTAGCTTTCATCTTTCTCAACTGCATGGGATTTTTTCGTAAAGACTCCAAATTCTCCAAAGCATGCATCAACTGGGAACACAAAGTAATACTGTCAGTAGTACGAGAATATCGAACTAAAAAACCTTTTATCATGTTGACCGAAACTAACATGGCGGTTAAGCGTGCAAGTCCCAATTCACCAAATACTACATCCGTCAAAGGAACCTTTGTTTACATGAAGGTCCAATGGCCAAATAATAATTCAAACAACAACAATAACAATAATA